GATTAAAGGCATGGGCCGCCGCCGCCGCCGCCGCCGCTGCCACCACCACCACCACCACCACTACCTGGTTATGTATCTTAAAGCTTTCCTGTGTTGCCCGTCTCTGGGTACTATCTGTCCAACATTTGTAACCACACTTGTGCAGATTCAGAGGGTAGCATGGCCAGAAGGGCTTGCTTGGTTACCTGTCAGTGTCAAGTGAAATGGCCTTGCCATCGGCATAGCGGAAATAACCCAATTCCCATACCGCCTACACAGATTAATAAGAGGGAAACAGACCCTGCCCATCTAGTAATCCACCCAGTAGCTTTAGACATTAATTACCATCAGGTCTGCTCATTTACAGGAACAACTCTAGTTTCATTAATCCTTACAATAGCATGTGCTAACTGAATTGTATAGTTCAAAATGTTCAATTCCAAGGCCCTCACAAACAAGCATTCAATTCTGCAACCTTGGGTGATACATTAAAAGCTGCATATCTATTTGTTCTTGTGACAGTGCTACTTGCTGATTAAGCATTAGAATTCCAAAGTGAAATTGTCCATTCAATGTTTGCTGAATGTCCAAGGCACCAGCCACCCTCTCAGATAATGTGTTGATAATGGCAGCCTGTTGAACAGTCTGAGATAATGCAAGCCCATCAGCTGTAGCAGCAACAGCAGATGCAGCCACAGCTGCAACAATTCCGGCAGTAATGCCAAAGTCTCTTCTTCTCCTCTTCAGATGCAGTGGAAACTGATCAGAAGGACTCTCCAGAGGCATCACTGCAAATGCAGGTATTCTCACAATCATTGCATGGGACCAATTTGCACTCCAGCAATTATTCAAGCTACAACTTAGAACTGAACAGTTTAGTAGTCCCTCCCCTCCCACATCACCATTCCAAACAACTAAAAGGGAAGGGAGCACTTGGAGAGCCACAGCATGGGACATGCTGCAACTACCTACATATCTGCCAAAGAAGTATTACTCAGGACTAGGCAATCATGAACGCTGTCTTTCAGATTCAAGGAGATATCATTGGTATTATTCTTGTCAGCTGTACTATTTTTCTTAAAACAAAGAGCATTTTTTAAACTGCAAAGTAATATTTACAAAACCTTCTTGGAGTTTTACATTGCTGGCAGCAGTACCAATTGTCCAATTAGAAGAAAATACAGCAGGAAACACAGGGCTATCAACACTCACAGGCAGTAACACAGGTGGATTTCTTACTAAACTCTATAATGACTCAGCTTCTCCACCCCCCCTTTTTTTTGCCTATATCTGTCCTCTGATTCTTTTTCCTCCCCTATCCATTGAGGATTTCTTGGCGGGGGGTCGAGACAATAGAGGCACAGAAGGTGCTGACTGTGCTTTCACTTTTGCAGGGCGCAATTTCTGTTGTAATTCCTCTATCTCTTTTTCTAGCTGCTCTTCCTCCTCTACTAAATCTGAGACAGAGGCAAGATCATTGTCTTCTTCCTCATCCATTAAATCCTTCACAAATATCCTTATCTGCTCTTTACAGGGGACCTCGACCTCTTCCTTTTCCCCTTTCAAAGATTCAATCATCTCTGCCTCCTGAGCGTTAGCAAATGCTTGCTTGCACTCAGAAAGTTGCTCTTTCCCTTTCACTTTATCTGTCAGAAGAGCATCTTTCCCAATCTGGAATATTCAGACCTCCTCCTGTCAGAAACCAAGGACTTGCTTCGGCTATGGTGTCCACGAATGTGAGTGTGGTGCTAGACTTAATTCCTGTTCCTTGCTTACTTAGCTTAATTCCTGTTCCTTGCTTAACTTAATTCCTGTTCCTCAGTGGCCAACTGAGCTTTTGCAGAATTACTCATGGTATGTACCAATGTTTCAATTCCCCACCCCTTCTTTTAGGGTGAGCCTCGTTCGCTTACGCCTCTTTCCAGGTCCCAGTAGTGACCTCCACTTGCTTCAAACTGCACAGCTGGAGCACGAAATCTGGCGAGGAACGCAGAGGTTAAACACCACTCTAGTCACCCAGTTTCAGTTCGTCAGGGAAGCAGCTTTTCTTTATTCATACCAACATGGGCTAATATACCCCTCTAACAGCAGAAGTCAAGGAATGGTTACTCTGTATCTGTAGGCAAGTGGGACACTGTTTTCCAAACAGGAAAAACCACAGGGGAACTGATCCCCTGCACCCTCTGGAACCCAACTGCACATTTTTTTTTCACACAAACAACCTAAATGGGACAGGATAGAAAAGGACATTTAAAATTAAGGCAGCAAACTTACTGCTGCCAATACCCCATCATGATCTTGATGCCCTAGTTCACAGAATCTCTCTTCACTCTCTTCAACTGAACTCCTGGAGCATGGCCTGTTGCTTGGCTGTGGATCTTGGCATCTGCTTCCATTGGTTACTTGATGAAGGTTCTATGATGACAGTTATGGTATTCACCAATCTGATTACCAGGGTACGCCAGTTCAGGTACCCTCTCCATTATTGCTTGCAGTCTATGCTGGGGTCATTCTTGTGGATTCCTGGGAACTTCCCAGCACCCAGTTTCTCCCTATCCCCATGATGTCTACCTCTATCAAAATATCTCTTTCATTGCTTGCCCACTCCCAAGGACACCATCAGGCCTAGCAGGGAAAGCTTCATAGAGAGCTGTGTGAGAGAAAAGAAGGGTGTTTAAATAGCTTCCTACATTTTCCTCAGCTTTCTCTCCATGGCTTGCCTCTGAGAACTTGTGTTTTCATGATTCTTATCTCTTTCCCATTCCCATCACTCTGCTGTTCATCTTTCTCCCTCCATGAATCCAACTCTTATTTTGATCATCCTCTTCTGGAATCCCCTGTGGTACCTGAGTCAAGTCTATATTTCTGACTATCCCTTCTTCTATGATAGAATGTTCAGCAGCTCACTGGGACAGAGAGATAGATAGATAGATAGATAAATAGATAGATAGATAGATAGATAGATAGATAGATAGAGAGGGAGAGAGAGAGAAAAAGAGAGAGACAGATTGGTTTGTTTTACTGCCCAGGGATTGGTCAGTTTATGTGCTGACTTGGTCAGGGGAAGAATGTATTCCACTGAGTGTGTTGGTCATATTATATATAACATATAACGTATGTTAGTCCCAGCATTGACATGATCATGTTTTGAGAACCATGAGCTTTGCTCTCTGGGGAGTCCCAAGCAGGAGGGTGCTGAAGGAAACTCCTGGCTCTTAAAAAAGATTTTTTGGATTGTTAAAGACCTATAGGACATGATGGGAGGGAGAGACATATGTCAGGAACAAGCTATCTTCTTTCCAAGCCTTGACTGAAACAGGTGAAGGCAAAGGTAAGTCCAGATGCCCCCACAATCAGAACCTACTTTGACCCAAGTGTCTCCTTCCCTGGTGTGAGGGGATCAAATCTCTCCAGTGTTGGAGAGGTGGTTGCTCCTTCTGTCTTAGAATCTCTGCATGTGTGTCCTTCATTTCTTCAACCTGTCCATTTAGATAGAACTTGGCTTCTTGGGACAACTAGTTATCTTCCTGGTCTTGAAGATGCTTTTGTGAAGACAGAGGCTGATGCTTTCCCAGGGCTTATAAAGCAGCAAAGAAACACTGATCACATCACTACAGTTCATTTGGAGCCAAGCCTTTTCTTCAAGGCCTCTTTTTAGTGCAAGAATTGTTCCTTCATTCTAATACCTATGTAGTGATTATTACCACAAAGAACATGTCACGTCTAATTAATCCCAGGCCAGAGAGTGACTGGTGTCACCACCTGGTTCCTTCCTTGGACTGAAGAAGAACTATGTGCAAAGGTGCAAATGATGGACAAAACAGTGGCTGCATTCTCCACATGAGTGAACTATGTAGAAGGGGAAATTCAGTGTCTCTAACAGTGGAAGTCAAGTGAGTCAAGGGTTGAGGCTGCATTGAAGAAGGTGGGGTCCAGGCCTCACCAGATAATAGGACACAATTAGGAGTTCTTACTCATCAAGGAGGACTATCTGTTGTTTGGTAATGTGAAAATCTCGCAGGGTGCTCTGCAGTGGGTATAATCTGTTTTTTCACCTTTAATAGTCAAATGATTAGGCAAAGGAATATTTGACCCTGTGGCTTCTCCAGGGAGTCAATTGTTATAGAAAGCTGATGGTAGAGAGAACCAATGTACACTAAATTGTGTTAAATCTCCAGTAATAATCTAAGCCCAGACAATGTATCCATCAGTGTAGTAAGTTGTATGTGAGTTTCCAGTTTGCTCCTAAAAAGGACCTGAGCTCATTAATATATATCCATTCAATAGAACACATTTCTTTGTCAATATCAGTGTTCACAGGCTGCAGTGGTATTTCCTAGTTTCTTATTGTCCAATGAAAGCAAGTGTGAGAGTTATAGGTATTTTAGTGATAGAAGGGTCATATTGCTCTCTTTTCTCTCTGCCCCCTCCGTGTCTCTCTCTCTCTCTCTCTCTCTCTCTCTCTCTCTCTCTCTCTCTCTCTGTGTGTGTGTGTGTGTGTGTGCATATAAAATGCTTCTTGTGTCCTCAACTGAATTTGCCTTGTGCGAAGAATGTGTTTGCTGGGAAGAGATTAGCTCTGCTGGTTGTGAACATCAGCAAGGTCTCCTGAGATATTACAAGAAGACGATCTCGTAGAAAGGATTCAGCATGGATGAGGGTAAGGACCAGAGCAGAATGATTGAAGATGGGCAGAACTGTTTAAAGGATTAGATAAAGTGGGGAGAGAAGCATGCAGCGCTGCTGAAGGTGGATGGATCAAGAGTCTTCACAGAACTGGAGCTGTCCTGATATCCACGGATCAGTGGCAGAAACAATTAAGGTTGGGACTGTTTGAGGTTAGTATCAGAATGAGAATGGAAGGATGGAGAAACTGAGGAAGGACCTTTACTGCAGAGGTTGATTGGAGTATCAAACGTGGCCATCACAGATAGTGACAGAGAAGATACAGAAAGTATTGTGCATGCCCTACAAGACTGAATGGGGAAGCTGACTTCCTTCTCTTCCTGGACTTGTGGTTTGTAACTGATAAGTTTCTTACTCCTCTAACTTCTTCATTTCTGTCACAGGAAGCCCCTCCTACTCCTTTTTTTTCCAAACCTCCTCACTGTGTTTTTTTCCTCTATTCCTTTTCATTCTGGGCCACAGTTCCTGTTATAACACTGCAGATCCTTTCTCAATTCCCACAGCATAGGGGGGAACATATTCTCTGGCTGCTCTATAATGTGCAGGAACATCATTTGCAGACTTTCAAACTGGAGCTGGTAATAATATTCCTCTGACATCCTTTGGTGCACAATGAGGGCAATGACCTCTCTTTCAGGTTTAGTGTGAGAATCAAGTAGTCCTGTGACATGGAAGGATTCTTATTTCTGAGGATATGAATTGAGATGGGAGAGTGCAATGATTAGTTTTTGTTATCTTGAAGTAGACTAAAGTCACTTGGGAAATCGAGAACCTCACTGATGATGTGCTTTGATTATACTTTAGTCATGTCTGTGGGTCCCTTTCTAGATTAATGATGCTAAGAGAAATCACAACCTGATGCTATGCTCTTAGAGGAAAACACATGGAAGCAAAGTCTGGCACTCCTTACATGGTCAATTCCTTTCCCTAATCCCAGCATATAGTTTGTTGACTTTCGCATAGGAGGAGGGTCTGTATTTTCACAGATAATGGACATCTTTGCTGGATCCATCCAGCCCTTTCTCTTCTGGTTCACTTTGGTGTTGCTCATTCTTCCCCCCACAGCTTCATGCAGAAGTGTCTGAAGTGTTGCTAAATGTTGGTAATGTTTGAAGTTAGAGCAACCATCTGTCCCCTGAGGAAGTGACAATAGATTCTGCTCATGCTTCCATTAGGAACCTGCTCTCCTCAGCATGTTACATGACTTCCTCTAAACTAGTGGTGCTCACAGAGTGGAAAGGACCTTAGTTCATCTGGGCTGGGTGGTGTCATGTGGCACCCTAGATCCTTGTATGTCTTCCATTGACCTCCAATGAAGTAAGTATCAATTTCTAGATTCATCCTAGGCATTTTCAGAACCAGAATGTATCTCTTCCCTCCATGGGCCCACCAGATTCATATGAAAGTATGACAGGACCGGACCACGTAACATTTTCCATGAGGACAGAGGGAGGTGGTATGTTGATAACATGGACAGGTGTAGTCTCCTAAGATCTGCTCAGCTGCTAGTTGTGGTGGTACATTCTTCCAAATTCAGCACTTCTGAGGCAGGGGAAGGTGGATATCTGTGAGATTAAGACCAACCATTCCTACATAGTGAGTTCCAGGACAGCCAGGGCTCTGCAGAAAGACCTTCTTGAAAAAAACAAAAACCACAACACAACAAAACAATCTGCTCAGATAGAGGGAGGAATTGACTAGAGGCTACCTAAATCACTGGACTCTCAGGTCTAGAGAATGGAATGTGTAACCTTAATCATGCTGTAAGCCCAGCATCACCTAACTGTGAACCAAGAAAAAGAAATTAGAAGAAACAAATTATAGGATAAAATCTCCCATGAACACAGCTGCAATATCTACAAAAATATCATTCCTGCACCCTGTAGAGACCGTCTTGAAGAGCAAGTAACCTGTGGCATCATATTCATAAGACTTTGCTAAGCATTCTATGTTACTGGCATGAAAAGCATTTATTAAATGTGAATTCTTTAGATGATATCCTGATGCTAGCCAAGAGAATGTGTTATAAAATGAAAAGAACACCTCATGAATAATAGAATTTACTCAGTCATGTAAATCCCATTCAACATTCAAAATCATATGTTATTAATGATAGTATCAAGGTTAAAATTAAAAATGTATGAAATGGAGACAGTTTCTGATGAATAGTCAGCATTTGTCAGTGTCCCACAGCCATTCATTGTGGTGGTAATCTAATTATACTGAAATGTGATTTTGATTGTATGTTAATAAATAAAGTTGCCCGGGGGTCAGAGCTATTAGAGCCATAGCAAAAGTGTGGCGGTGGTGGCACAC